TGAACCCGGGAAGCAGAGGTTGCGGTGAGCAGAGATCACGCCACTGCACTCCAGCCTGGGCAACAAGATGAAACTCCATCTCAAAAAAAAAAAAAAGAAAAGAAAAAGAAAAAGAAAATATATTCTATGATTCCCATTAATACGACTAAATAAATACATAAATGCTTTCTTTTTTTTTTTTTTTTTTTTGAGACGGAGTCTCGCTCTGCCGCCCAGGCTGGAGTGCAGTGGGCCGATCTCAGCTCACTGCAAGCTCCGCCTCCCGGGTTCACGCCATTCTCCTGCCTCAGCCTCCCGAGTAGCTGGGACTACAGGCGCCCGCCACTCGCCCGGCTAGTTTTTTGTATTTTTAGTAGAGACGGGGTTTCACCGTGTTCGCCAGGATGGTCTTGTCTCCTGACCTCGTGATCCACCCGCTCGGCCTCCCAAAGTGCTGGGATTACAGGCTTGAGCCACCGCGCCCGGCCCATAAATGCTTTAACATTAACAAATATCCAGCCAGCTAGTGTTCCCATTTTCTTTTTTTCTTTTTTCGAGACAACATGATCATGGCTCACTATAGCCTTAACCTCCCAGGCTCAGGCGATCCTCCCACCTCAGCCTCCCAAGTAGCTAGGATTAAGCACGTGCCACAACGCTGGCTAATTTTCATATTTTTGTAGAAATAGGGTTTGTTTGTGTTGCCCAGGCTAGTCCTGAATTCCTGAGCTCAAGCGATCTGCCCACCTCAGCTTTCCAAAGTACTGGGATTACAGGTGTGAGCCACCACACCCCAAGTTTTCTATGTCTTTTTTTTCTTTTCTTTTTTTTTTTTTTTGAGACAGGGCCTCGCTCTGTCACCCAGGCTGGAGTGCAGTGGTGTGATCATGGATCATTGCAGCCTCGACCTCTAAAGCCTAAGCCATCCTCCCACATCAATTTCGCTGAGCCCTTTTTTTTTTTTTTTTTTTTTGAGACAGGGCCTCGCTCTGTCACCCAGGCTGGAGTGCAGTGGTGTGATCATGGATCATTGCAGCCTCGACCTCTAAAGCCTAAGCCATCCTCCCACATCAATTTCCTGAGTAGCTGGAACTACAAGTGGGCACATTGCACCTGGCTAACTTTTTTAAAAACATTTTTTGTAGAGATGAGATCTCACTGTGTTGCCTAGGCTGGTCTCAAACTCCTGGACTCAACCAATCCATCCCTCCTCAGCCTTCCAAAATGCTGGGATTACTAGCAATTCTTCAGATAGGCCTTCCCTAACAACTACGTCCAAAATAACAGGCAACTCAACCTC